GATGTTGATAATATTTTCTGATTTATGGATCAATAAAAATAGATATCCAAAATCCCCTAATATGTCAACAGAATAAAACAGCCATTTTGAATCTGGATTTATTCAGTATTCTATTCTGGAATTCTATGCAAATTAGTGCATATTTAATTAGAGTATGCCTCATTTAAACATAATATCTCAGAAAACTTGTAATTCTTTTATATATATAATTCTTAATGTAATCAATCAACTGAGGACATATGGTGAGTTTTTTTAGTTATTAGTTATTAGAAGTATGGCAATAACTATTAGTAATCCTGGGATGTCTTGCCTTAATTTAGCAGATGATTTTGTTCAAAGCAAATTGCATATGAGAAAAGACACAAGGTATTTAATTTAATTTTAAAAAGAAAAAAAAAACTGAATAACAAAACAAGATAAAGTTTACATTCATGCATTTGACAGATGCTTTTATCCAAAGCGACTTACAATGCATTCAAGGTATCCAGTTCATGCATTTCCTGGGAATCGAACCTTTGACCTTGGTGTTGTTAGCGTCATGCCGTACTGTTTGAGATACAGGAATGCTGCAAAATAAAAATAAAATAAATCATAAAATTAATAGATACTTTTGATTGAATCAAATGCTATTCTATGTTGCAAAAATACATTTTAGTTAACCCTTTTCACAGACTGTGATCAAGCAATTCTATAATTATCAGCATTGCAAATGTAGTAGAGTTTTTCATATTTTATTTTTTAAAAATGTATTATGCATTTATAATGACATATTCTGTTTTATATTACCGTGGCAGTAAATTACAAAATAAATAAATTAATCAATTAAAAAATAATAATAATGAATGCTGTTGCGCAAGTGTTTCTAATACAACGGCTGAGGGAGTGAGAATTTGACATCTCTTGACTTCTGATTTCTGTAATCATTCCCTCTAGATTTTCCCTATTTTTGGAAAGTCATGGAAATGCTATCATTGATTTTTTTCTTTTGCTTTTCGAGCAAATGAGAATACAAAAATGCTATCTGCTGTCATCTCCCGTTCACTACTGTAGCAGTTTACTGACTATGACGACTTCCTCTTCTGAGAACCTCAGAAATGTGAAAAGGATCCATTGTATTTTTAATTTGCAAAAATACATTTTAGTTGTGAAATAAACATTTTAAAATAGCACATACAAAATCTTTTTAAGCCACACAATAGCTTTGGGTGAGCAACCATTTTTGCAGATTTTTTATAAATGGTCTGAGTGAACTCGGTTTTGTCCACATAGAACATCAAACTAGATTAAAAAATAAGAAGAAAGTGTCATATGTGTCCTTTAAAGACACAAAGTAGCAGCACAAAGAGCATTTTTATTGGCCTCCACTGGAGGTCTCTGTGTTTGTGTAATTCAGGTCAGTGGCACATTCTGAGAAATACCACAGGAGGAGAATCAAAGGAAAAGAGGAGCTCAGATACCTCCTTCTGAGAAACCACTGACGATTTCCTCATTATTTATCTGACACATCTGCGCTTTATTGGAAAGTCAAAGAGAACAAAAGTTTGATGGTCAAAGATTTGTACAGTGAAAGTCTGATTCCCTTTTGTACAATGACATTTTTAATATTTAAAGGGGTCATATGATGCAATTTCAATTTTTCCTTTCTCTTTGGAGTGTTACAAGCTCTTGGTGCATAAATAATGTGTTTTTTGAACCTTAAACCACATAAACACATTTCATTACACCAAATACACAAAATAATGTTCTTTTTAGCAGCATTTTTTTTTTATTTAGATTTATTTGGGCAACATCCCTGTAGCTCAAACACAACAGCATGTTGCTAGCAACACCAAGGTCATATATATATTTATACAAAGTAATAATCCTTTATTAGGTTAGGGCTTGTTGTGTTTGTATTGTATGTGCATTGTCCGTATGTTCCTGTGTTTGCTCTCAGATACGCTGCAGGTTTGATGGACGATGCTTTGTGTCAGGGTCAGGACCTTCAAAGCAATCGCGCTCTGCAAGCTCTTGTCGCAGGACTCAAAGCCTACAGCACGTGGGAGAACGTGACGTGTCTGCAAGACTGCCGTGAGTGTACTGGCGGCATGGTGAGTGCGCGCGTGTCTTTGCACCTAAACACACACATATACGCTGATACTCATGTCCTGTTGTGCAGCGATGTCACGGTGTCAAATACAAACCTCCTGAACTGTCAAAGAATAACTTGCATTGGTGTTTTTGTGAACTGTGTTGGCGCTGACATGTTTTACATACTATAATCTAATACAATTTTAACTGGGATTTTGCTGCTGCTTCTTTTTCTTCTTCTTATACCATGATTTTTTTTTCTTATTAATTTTAAACCTACATGAAATATCTAGGACCATTACAGGACCATTTAAAATGATCTAGTCAAGACAAAAATGAAAAAGAAATTATGACCAGTTCTCATTTATTTAAAACACAGTTTTCATATAAATTATCGTTTGCTTGAATAATAAATGTAAATATCAGTGGTGTAATCTTAACAGCCTGTGCTTTTTGTTGGCTCATAGACTTTCCTGTTTATCACAACAAATGGCCAAGCAAAGCGCACGACACTGACAAGGTACACGATACAGTACGAGACCGAACGCGATTTCAGCACGTCTCCACAGACTTGTGGAGTGCTTGTGGTGTGAACAGCATGTATATGTTTAAAATGCATGAAACCACAGGGCTGATGTACATTTTTGTTTTCATCTGACACATCTGACATTAAATATTTTTGATCTCACGCAAACAAAACACATGGTAAGAAAATAGCTTGTGTTAAGATATCTTTTAAATAAATAAGGCTCTCATTTATTATCACACAAACAAGTATCATTATTACGATAACTCAAGTGTTGCAGCCGTTTATTTGTGATGATTTCCATTTGTTTATTATTATTTGTATTATGTATACATTTATATTTGTATTTATGATTTTTTTTGTTTTCATATATCAACTTCCTGGCAATCATTCTAGCATCATTGCGGCGAGTTTTGCACCTCTCACATTTTCTTCAGCATGTTGTGGCATGTTTATTCCCATCCACTTATTTAGCAGGGGCGAAAATACCACCAAAATTAATTCAAATTCAATATATGTGCGAAAGAAGGCCTCTGCATGAGCACTTGTTTAACGTATGATATAGTAAAGCAATATCACATGAGCAAGAGTGCCGTTTTTCCCAAATATTATCATGACTGATATTGAATTTACATTAACAGTTTAATAAATATTAAATTAATTAAATTTTAGAAAGTGTATTGTCAGTTTTTGCTCTACTTCACCAACGTAAATAGTTCTAAACAAACTCTGAAAATCAATTTAAATGGGCAAATATTGGAAAAATTTATTGGTCACAACAAAACATGTCATTTCTATTCAATTTTATGCTAACTGTGTGAGTTTGAGTCAGTACATTGAAAGTGGTCAGATAAAGTGTTTAACACTGTAAACGTTCCAATGATTATATCAGATTTTAAGCGGCTGATTTTTTTTTAAAGGAATAGTTGACCCAAACATGAGAATTTGCTGAAAGTGTACACATCCTCAGGCCATCCAAGATGTAGATGAGTTTGTTTCTTCATGGGAAGAGACTGGAGTGGTGTGAATTACTTGTGGATTATTGTGATGCTTTTATCAGCTCATTCTGATGGCACCCATTCACTGCAGAGGATCCAATGGTGAGAAAGTGATGCAATGCTACATTTACCCAAATCTGATGAAGAAACAAACTCATCTACATGCTACATTTTCAGCAAATCTTCATTTTTAGGTAAAGTATTCCTTTCAGTGATGTTCACATACAGTATGTCAAATGTGTATTTTGATTTGCTTTATTTCACGTTTAAATAGAAACTGTGGTTGATTTTCCTTCCAGGGCTTTATGATGGAAAATCGTATTCCGTCTCTGAAGTGTGACTCCGACGTCTTTGTCACATTTGAGGGCGACAACATGGTCATGCTTCAGGTATTCATAAATACTGCTTTAGCTAGATGACACCACACAACAAATGCACTCAAAAAACTGGCCAGCAAGTATTAAGGGGAAAAATGCTTGGTCACAAGGGTCATGTTTATTACCCTCTTTTTCCTTAAGGTTGTTATTTGTTTTCCTACTTATTTTAGAGCTATTCCCTTAATATAGTCCAATATCACATTCAAATACCCACGTTTAGACAAACAAGACAGTGTAAACAGAAACAACAGAGATATCTACATGATGACTGCTTGGAGGGGAAACTAGACAAGCGGCAATTCTTTTAAAAATATAAACGGTGTCTCACAAACTAAATTGAATTAAGTGGATTATGAAGGCATTAGAATAAAGGGGATCATTTTGATGCAATTGCACACAATTTAATGAGCAATAATGTGTCTCTAGCATCGGGACTGGTTATTAGATGACTGCTGAGATAATTAGGTCAGCTTCGTGATTCATTTTGTGCTGGTACTGATTTGCACCACATCGATTCGGCATGTAAGACGACACACATGCACACATAACATGCATAGAGACTCAAACACAACGTCTGCATTCACAGCTTGCCGAAGCCTAAAGACATGTATTTTCTTCTGAAATTAGATTATGCCCTTCAGTACCAAAATAAAGTCATGCAATTGAATCCTTGGAAACAGACCGATGGTGTTGTCATTTTAACACTAGAGAGTCTAAACATCAAGAAGGACAGTATTCAAAATTGCAGTTGAGAATTTTAGTTTTAATTACCATTTCTTAAACATGTACATTTGTCCCTCTAGTTTGGAATACTGGAGGGAATTTTGAATATCATGAAATATTACAGTTACAAAATATCTGTTTAAATTCTATATTGTTACATTTAATGGTGCGATCAGAATTTAAACTATTCAATAACTGCAGATTCATATTTTTAGCTTTTTTCTAAAACTTGAGCTTAGTAATTGAGTTTTTGCATTACTGTAGTTTATATTTGTGTGCATATACACTACTGTTCAAAAGTTTGGGGTCAATTAAGAATTAATAATTACATTTTTTTTTTTTTTTTTTTATGTTTTTGAAAGATCTCTTATGCTTACCAAGGCTGCATTTATTTGATCAAAAATACAGTAAAAAAAGTGAAATATTATTGCAATTTAAAATCACTTTTATGTTTGAATATATTTTAAAATGTAATTTATTCCTGTGATGAAAAAACTGAATTTTCAGCATCATTACTCCAGTCTTCAGTGTCACATGATCCTTCAGAAATCATCCTAATATGCTGATTTGCTGCTCAAGAAACATTTCTGATTATTATCAATATTGAAAACAGTTGTGCTGCTTAATAGTTTTGAGGAAACCGTAAAAAATGTTTTTTTCAGGATTCTTTAATGAATAGGAAGTTCAAAAGAACAGCATTTATTTGAAATAGAAATCTTTTGTAGCATTATAAATGTCTTTACTGTCACTTTTGATCAGTTAAATGTATCTTTGATGAATAAAAGCATTTCTTTCACAATTCTTTTTCTTCTGAAAATGCATCATCATGAATCACCCTCACGTGCTACAAAAAAGGGCAAAAAAGTTCCATAAAACTAGTTTATATGACTCATGTGCTATTGAGCAAAACTGAAGTCGGTCAGGATTTACAGAATGTTTCCTTCTGCACTCAAATCTCAGTTATGTTTGTACACACTAAATTTGATGTCAGTGAAGTTAAAGGTTATTTGTTTTCACATGTCTCATGACATTCTGCTGAAAATCACTTTGTTGTGTTCCACAAGGTTTGGAACAACATTAGGGTGAGTAAATGGGTGACTGTTGATTTGAACCACTCCTTTCCAACGTATTTTCCAAAAATAAAAAAGCAAGTGTTGCGCACAGCCAGGAACAGCTGTTGTTTAGGAATAATAGTACCTACTATGCGTTGCCAAGTTTCTGATCATCCAGTAGGCATCAGTCATGTGTAAATATGGGTATCATCCAAAAATGAAAATTTGCTGAAAATGTACTCACCCTCAGGCCATCGAAGATGTAGATTAGTTTGTTTCTTCATCAGATTTGGAGAAATGTAGCATTACATCACTTGCTCACCAATGGATGCTCTGCAGTGAATGGGTGCCGTCAGAATGAAAGTCCAAACAGCTGATAAAAACATCACAATAATCCACAAGTAATCCACACCACTCCAGTCAATCAATTAATGTCATATGAAGTGATAATAGCTTCCTCCAGTGAAAAAGTCCATCACCTGTTGTCTCTCACATAAAAATCACATGCATATTTGTTTAGAGCTGTTTTGGACTGTTTTCATTTGTAAATGGTGCTTGATCTGTGCAGATTTCTCTCCTGATTCAGACAAGACGACTTTTTTACTGGAGAGAGCAATTTTATGCATAGAGGACTCATATTGTAGCTGGAAGCAAAGGTTTGATGTTAAAATGTCTTAATGATAGATTTGTTTCTTATAAACACACAGCTTTTCACTTCACTAGACATTAACTGATGGACTGGAGTGGTGTGGATTATTGTGATGTTGTTATCAGCTGTTTGGACTCTCTTTCTGATGGCACCCATTCACTGCAGAGGATCCATTGGTGAACAAGTGATGGAATGCTACATTTCTCCAAATCTGTTGCCATGAAGAAACAAACTCATCTACATCTTGGATGACCTGCGGGTGAGTATATTTTCAACAGATTTTGATTTTAGGTGAACTCCTTCTGGCCTGCGTGTCTGGAGTTCTGAACACTACAGTAGTTTTTCATTGTACATCAAACTATTTTTATGTCACAAATCAAATAAACATCTCATGATATTACCTGTTTGAATCAGAGAACATATAGCTAAATTCTCTTTAAAATGTAGCCTTCTGCCTTTGACTATTACTTTAATATATCGTAAAGCTGCAGTTTTGCTGTTTCAAAGCATACTTCAACAAGTTTTTGGCTATATTTGTGAGGGCTGTTATTTGATTAAGTGCTTTAGGCTAATGATTAACCAATGCCGGAGGTCATATTGGGGCTTGTGAAAATAGAGGGTGCTGGGATTGTGGGACCAAACATTAAACCAAAGTCACAAGAACCGTGAGAGCCCTTACCAAAAAGTAGTATACTCCAAGTTTATTTTATTAAGCATACTTAAGTAAAGTTCAAGTATATTTTTAAGTATACTTTATGTAGTAAGTATACAAATATCCTTGTACTAGTAGTATACTTGTAAGTGTACTATTTCAATACTCCTTGGGACTAAATTGGCCCACTTTCTAGTATATAAAAGTATACTTTTAGTATAACAGTATAGTAAACTTTGAGTACACAACTAGTTTACATCTATGTTTTTAGTTTGTAGTGCAACTATACTAAAAGTGAACTTAAATGTATACTGATAGTTTATTAATTAAATACTTGTAGCAGGTTTAGTACACTTTGAAGTATAGTCTCAGTAAACTACTAGTTTTTGAAGTATAGTCTCAATAAACTACTAGTTTAGTAGTGAACTTTACATCATACTTTAAGTATACTACTACATCCCTATTTAGGTATTAATTTGTATATATTTTGTTATATGAATATCTGAACATATAAAACATCAAAAGAAAGAACAGGGTATCTGCTTGTCAACGAAAACATTTTATTCTAGCTTCATGCATTCTTTTTTTATAAACACTTGAATGTGGGTAAGTTTTATAAATAAAAAAATAAAGAAATAAACAAGATTTTGAACAAAAAGCTGAAAAAAGACTATGAATTGGATTCAGAATGATAATCAAAACGTAGATGGAGTCGATCAACACCCCAAAGCTTGACAGTCATTATTACCTCTTCATGGGTCGACATTTTATTCCATAACGTTGCACAGTTTTGATGCTGTTTTATGTCTGATGCTCGTGTTAGAATACATGTGGAAGCGTCTTTTGTTTCGGTTTCTTCTTCTCTTGTGTTTTTTTGGAAATTCTGTACAGAAGATGTGTACTAGCGCCCCCTACCATATAACAATGAAAACATCCTAGGGGCACAAGTATAGCTCAAATATATTTAGACTTTTTCCTAAGTATAAGTCAAGTATACTTAAATGTAATTTTAAGTATATTTCTGAGAAGTACATAAAGCCCATGTCTGAGAAGTACATAAAATTAGACTGAAAGTATACTTTCCAATTTTTTTGTTTAAAAGAAGTATACTAATAGCACACTTGAATAAACTTCTTTTTCGTAAGGGAGGCTCTGCCAGCCACTTTATTTCTCTTTCTCATTCCCGCTCTCAGATTGGTTTTGGGGACTTTTTTGTAGGACATCAGTCTAATGAAGTTATTAAGAGATTTTAGCGTCACCTGTCATGAGGGAAATTAGCATTTAGCTCCAAATTTCATACACATGACCAGCACACTGTTAAGTTTTGGCTGCACCCTGAAAGAGTGTGTCCAATTCAGTTACATTGAGAAGATTGTTTTACAGTATGCAATTGTACATAGTGCAGATGTGATGGCAGGAGTAGAGGAGGTTCAATTTTGGCATATGTAGGGCAGAAACATACACAATGATTATGACACAATGAGTAATTTACTCTCTGTAAGTAAAGACAGAGAGACTTTATTGTCATTGTACTGCTGTGCAAAACAACAAAATTTAGTTGTTTTTTTTTCTCAAACATTCACATAAAACAACAATAAATATAAAAATGTCAATATAGATTACAAGTTTAAAAAGATACTTAAAAAAAGCAACAGACTGTTTAAAGTGTGCTGTGCAATTACAAATATAATTTATAGATGGTAACCAATCACAGGGTTTAAGTAGGTCCTTAAAAAGTCTTGCATTTAGATGTACATTAAATTTCAGTTAATAAAATAAAATAAAATTCCTTAAATGGTACAACAAAAGTCTTGATTATAATTATTGATGATTAAAGGGATAGTTCACCCACAAATGAAAATTTGATGTGTATCTGCTTACCCCCAGGGCATCCAAGATGTAGGTGACTTTGTTTCTTCAGTAGAACACAAATGAAGATTTTTAACTCAAACCGTTGCAGTCTGTCAGTCATATAATGGCAGTCGATGGGTTCCATGGCTTTGAGAGTAAAAAAAACATACACAGACAAAACCAAATTAAACCCTGCGGCCCGTGATGATACATTGAGGTCTTAAGACACGAAACGATCGGTCTGTGCAAGAAACTGAACAGTATTTATATCATTTGTTTACCTCTGATCCACCGCAATGTCCAACTGTCCTGAGTGTGTTCACAACATCCGGCGAGTGACGTCAAAATAAATACGGTCGGGCAAAAAATTCCACGTTGTCTGATGATATATCAAAATTGTCTTCCATTGTGATGATACTGCCACCTATCTCTCAAATGGACCATTGACACTCCCAATTGAGATTGTAGATAGAGTGTCAGTGGTCCATTTGAGAGATAGGTGGCGGTAACAGACTGCAACGGTTTTAGTTAAAAAACTCAGTTTGTGTTCTACTGAAGAAACAAAGTCACCTACATCTTAGATGCCCTGGGGGTAAGCAGATAAACATCAAATTTGTATTTTTGGGTGAACTATCCCTTTAAACTTCAAAAGGCTACGTTTTCATTGAATAAATATGAGCGCTGCCTGGTTGTTTTTTATATAAATGTATCCCTAGAGGGAAACAACTGTCTTCAGAAAAGTATCGATGGGATTTTCATTTCATCATACTTGTAATGCCTGATAAAGTATGAGCGCAGTGCTGCTTTGCGTACAGCCGTTACCGGGGAAACCGCTATATTTCTGCTGCTCCAAATGCGACAACTACTGGAAGAGAATAAATTTGCATTTTCAATCAGCCCGTCTGCATTTTTTGTTCAGATCAATGCCAAAATCAACATTTGTTTTAAGCAGAAAACATGCAGTGGTAAATGTGAAACAGTGGATTGATAAGAAGCTAATGTGTCTTCTAAAATCAAAATAATTAAGACCGTAAGATGTATTTATGTTTTAAACTAATATAATAATTTATACTTTTGACTCATTCCTTTTCTCAAAAAAATGGTTATAGGCTGAAATGTGAAGATTATCATTTTATAAAGCTTTGTTTTTGTGAAAACCTGTATCAGAACTGTAAATTATGTTTTTAACAGTCATTTTATGGTTTAATATGTTACCATAGACAGTGCCCTACCCTGCTCATACAGTATTACGTTTATTTGTGCAGGTCTTAAAAAAGTTTTTAAAAAGCCTTACATTTGATTTTCAAAATCCTTCAGATACCCTGAATAAGGAAGTGTTCAATAGTTGTACAGCTCTAGCAAAAGAGCTATTTTTCAGTCATGTAGTATAAGAGTAAATAATTCTGTATCTGTACCAGAGCGGAGGATATCAAAAGAGGTAGTGTGCAGGGTGAGTGGGATTTTGGAGGTTCTACTCCGATATCTGGACAAATAAATATCCTCAACTGATGGTAACTGTATACCAATGATATTGTGTGCCATTTTCATAACTTGTTTCAGAGTGCTTATTTTCAGAGCTCCTCTCTTGTACCACTACCGTGCCAGGATGTGATGCAATATGTTAGTGCACTCATTGCACATCAATAAAAGTTCAAAAGAAGTTTCTGAGGCAATCTTAGTTTCTTTAATCTTCTTAGAAAATAAACACATTGATGTGCTTTTCCAATGACAGTGGAGGTGTGTGTAGTCCAAGAAAAATCCTCTGTAATGTTCAGCCCCAAGAATTTAAAACGGGATTCTCTCCACAGCCACTCCATTCATAAGCACAGGACCTAAAATCTCTTTTGGATCTCCTTTGTCTTCTTGGTGTTAAGGATGAGACTATTGTTGGAGCTCCAGGCTGTCACATTTTGTACTTTGTTCCTGTATGCATACTCATCATTGTTCAAGATCAAGCCGATGACTGTTGTATCATCTACGTACACCTAAGTGTTGTGTTGTTTTGCAGGTGGTGGTACGAGAGCTGCTGACCCAGTACACCAAACTGATGGGGAACAACTTGGTGATGGGACTGATTAGAAACTGGACCAGCTCAGTATCAGACAGCCTTAGAACCAGGTAAGAGGATAGATAGATATATAGATAGATAGATAGATAGATAGATAGATAGATAGATAGGGGTGCTCCGATTAATCGGCTACTGATCGCTATCGACTGATAATCGCTTTGGGAAGTTTGCATCATCACTAAAGTTTAGAATTTGCATTTCTTTTTAAGTCTTGCTAGTGTTTAACCATTCAGCACTTGTGCGCTCTCGGTGCGCTCATGCACACTCAAAGCGCGCGCACATAAGGCCGCCTCACATACAGCTCAGCAAATCAGGCTTTTGCTGAGTGTAAGCTATTGTGCAGCAGTTGCCCCATTGTAAAAACTGCATGATCAAACATTTTAGGCGAGATAATTATATATTTTTGAAAAAAATTCTAAAACATTTCTTCATTTTATTACAATAATAATGTAATACTAATTACATTATGTGCAGTTTTTACATTATGTGCAGTTATTACATTATGAGTTGCTACAATGGATGAATGGATAGATAGATGTCCACATCTTTAATGATGTTCTGAGCTCAATCGTGACATTTCGGGCTTAATGCTCTTCATTAGATGGCATTTGTCTGTTGGCTTCGCTGCGTAAGATCAGCTTCTATTATCTAGCCTCTAAAACTCCATATTCCAGAAAAGCCACACACACACTGTTCAGCCCTGAGAAACCTGTCTACCATCGCTTGTGTTTACTCTCACAATTAGGTCACCAATTTAGCAATTTTGCCTAAGAGGAAAATTTGATAGGTGTAATTGTTTTCCGGCCTGCTATTCATAACATATTAACCAAAGCCGAAATCTTCAGTCGCCCGGCATACTGTAGCCTGAATAAAATCAGCTTTTATTTGTCTAGATGTGATTCTGATAGTACAGTGATTTTATACAGTATCTCTTTGTTTGACCGAGTTAATCTGTTTTGCTTTTGGCTGTTTCCTTGTTTATCTAGCTTTCTTGGCTTCAGCGTGGACAAAGTAGGAGACCTAATGTTCCTACTGAAAGCGGTGAGCTACAGGGAAAGGGTGTTACAGCGCAGTCTGGCAAGTCGACTTTACACTAAGGTCAGTTGTTCTCACTGAATGACTGGAAACAAACAGAGTTTCCTCTCTGTGTGTTTTACTGCTGCTTATTTTAAAGCAGAGCAAGTGACAAGAGATCCATGGCAAGTGTGAGTAGCTGTGAAATGCTTTGATTGAATATTTATTGGCGGTAAAGTTTAAAACATTTTAAGTACCCATAGGATGAAATTTTTTTTAGATTGAATATTCTAAGGACATTAAAATCCAGTTTTCTTGTTGTGATTATAATGTTATTTAAAGGTTACAAAAGACTTTTCTTAGAACATTCAAGTAGAAATGACATTATAAGGACGTTTCGAGAATATTGATCTCAGAACGTTTTCTCTCAAACTATATAAAATATTAATAAAATTAGAAGAACATTCCACAAACATTACTTTAGGAACAATACATTTATATCACTTTTAAAAAAATGAGATCTCAGCAATGTCTCATGCTTACATTTGCCAAGATCCAAGGGCACAGAATTTAGTAGGGACGCTAGGGACATGTCGCTATCAATATCCAGCGTCTACTAATTGTCCCTAGCGATAATTTTGATCAAACAATTAAATATATGTGTATGTAACCAATGTTGTTGTATTTCGGCCGCATCTGAAATAGGTCATACCATTGATATTATCTGAGAAGTTAAAGGGGTCATATGATGCTGCTAAAAAGAACATTATTTTGTGTATTTGGTGTAATGAAATGTGTTTATGCGGTTTAAATATCTCTTTGGATTTGAGACTTTAGTCTTTGCAACTTTACAGATCTTCTTTATGCACCAAGAGCTTGTAACACTCCAAAGAGAAAGGAAAAATTGAAATCGCATGATATGACCCCTTTAAAGTAAATATGCTAGAAAACGGCATGCTTTCAAGGACGCACATTTAATAGATGTGTGGAGCAAGAACAGATAAGAGAGCAGAAGTGTTTCAAACATACAAGCACAGTTCAGCTGAATGATAAAGTTTACCCTCTTTAACTTTATGCTGTTCTGCTGTTTTGTTCATCTGCTGCTCCCATTTGCTCTCTTTACATTGACTATCACTCTATAGACTAATACAATCAGATGCAACAATCGGATGGGTCAACAGTGTAATTATAAATGTAATTACAGAAATTAATTACAGATGTAATTACATGCAGGTATTTTTTTAAACTATAAGTACAATGTAAAAACATGTATGTATTGTACCAAATGATAAATTTAAATGTAAGTACATAGTAGTTAAGGCCACTTAATATAAAGTGGGACCCAACAATCATTTCTCAAATATTTATTAAAAAATATACTGATAAACTGAACATTCACTTCAATGGTATGAGAGACTGGATGATTTCAGCTGATTTGCTATTGAACTGTCAGCAGCTGAACTGCAGTGCTCAAACTATTTCAAATATAGTCAATTAAGCTACAAACTCGATCATAATGCTCAATGTTTCCATCTAACATGTATTTTGAGTGTTTCACTAGTTAAAAGTAAACCTGTTAGCTCTCCTGGATATGTTTGCAGATGTGTTAAATGTTATCTTTGGAATGGAAAAAAATATATATATTATTCAACATCATACTTTTTTCTCTTATTTCAGTTAATGTCATTAAACTAGCGAGCTAAGCCAGTAGTAGTGCTGACAGTGTCGTGTAAACATGGCTGAGGACGCGAAAAGCGGAGGAACAGACTAACCGATTCAATTGAGTGAGTCATTTACGCTGGAACCGCTCCGATTGATTCAAACTCGTGATGCGATCATTCAGTTCAAGCGATTCACTAGAAAATCACAGCTACTTTATGCAGGCTGTGTGCATTTTACTGTGGACTGACTGTTTTGAAACTTATATGGTAGTTACATAGCACCTAGACCTCAGTTATCATAAAAAAAGCCAGGAAATTTCAGTTTTGACAACATGGGACCTTTAAACCGCATAAACACATTTCATTACACCAAATACACAAAATAATGTTCTTTTTAGCAACATCATATGACCCCTTTAAAAAGCATGTAGCCTATAGTGATGGGTGAAACAGAGCTTTTGAAAGTGAAAATGGCCAAGTATGGTGTCCCATACTCGGAATTTGTGCTCTGCATTAATCCCATCCAAGTGCACACACACACACACCAGTGAGTAGTGAACAAACAAACACACACATACTGTGAACACACACCCGGAGCAGTTGGCAGTCATATTGCTGCAGCGCTCGGGGAGCAGTTGGGGGTTCGGTGCCTTGGCCTGTCTAATTAATATTCATGAGCCTCTCTTCTGATTGGCCTGTTGATTTCTGAGACATCATAGCGCTAGCTGGAGGCAGCAAAACGAAGGGGAAACTGGAGGCGGCCCATTCAAACCAGCGCAGATTCGTTTGACAACATGGGACCTTTAAACCGCATAAACACATTTCATTACACCAAATACACAAAATAATGTTCTTTTTAGCAACATCATATGACCCCTTTAAAAAGCATGTAGCCTATAGTGATGGGTGAAACAGAGCTTTTGAAAGTGAAAATGGCCAAGTATGGTGTCCCATACTCGGAATTTGTGCTCTGCATTAATCCCATCCAAGTGCACACACACACACACCAGTGAGTAGTGAACAAACAAACACACACATACTGTGAACACACACCCGGAGCAGTTGGCAGTCATATTGCTGCAGCGCTCGGGGAGCAGTTGGGGGTTCGGTGCCTTGCTCAAGGGTCTCACCTCAGTCGTGGTATTGAGGGTGGAAGAGAGCACTGGTCATTCACTCCCCCCACTGACAATCCCTGCAGGTACCGAGACTCGAACCCGAGACCTTTGGGTTACAAGTCCGACTCTCTAACCATTAGGCCATGACTTTCGAAAGTCAGAATCAGTTGAACCACAGTTGCGTCGCAAAATGATCCACTGTTTCGAAATGCTCTTCGTATCGCGAATCATTTGATTCAGATCGGGACTTCGGAGCGCGTATCGCGAATAATTTTTCGATTTTTTTTAATTATACAGTACAAAACATCAAACCATTAAGACAGTACATTTATAAAAAACAAAGCAAAGAAAACAGAAACGAAGTATACACAAAAACAAATCCCCTAAGAAAATTAACCATGTTTTTTTTTGAAAACCATGGTTAATTTTCAAAAGGGAGGTGTTGCCAGGTAAAAGAAAAAAGTTATAAATCTACACATAGGATGAATATGCAGTTCTCTCCTTAAACATGAAGAGGTCAAACAACAGATTAATGAGTTACTCCAAATTTCACAAAAAGCTTATGGACGTGATCATAATATAAGTCAGATATTGAAGTGAGCTGCTGTTTTTGTCACTCTTCTGATGAAGATTCATTCAATTGTTTGGCAATATACCCACACAGAGAAACTTTGGTCAGATTTTTCATTTTTTTTAATGTTCATCCAATTTGTAAGTGACTTTTCTTTCTGTTTTAAAAATGTTTTCTTTGGATTGTTTGAGTACTCAAAAGAGAATATAGGAAAATATAACTTTATTTGTGTTTCCTGATAGCTAAATTTCACATACATAAACAGAAATCTGGCTCTAAACCTCCCTTTTCTTTATTCAAAGTTGGTCTAGACAAGTATATTGAAACTATCCAAAGTTCTGTTAATCCTAAAGCAGTGAATTCTATAGTTTCCAAAGTCGGACATCGCTTGTTATGATTTTCAAGGGCGTAGGAAATTAGTCGTGGTGCAATGACATGTCCCTATCAATATCCAGCAACTACTATCCTACACCCTTGCCAAGATCCTAAAGCATGTAATCAGATGTCATCTCTTCAAAATGTATTTCAAAACAAGATTATTTTTACTATGCTGTTCACTTTCATTTTATAGTTCTCTTGCAGTCATCCTTTGTTAGAAACATCTGAGACTAACCTGATAAAAACACAAATGTTTAAATGTTTCCCTTTGAAACAGGAAGATTTTGTGATTTCTGTCTTCTGAATTAGTGCAAATTGAACCAGTTGTCGCATTATTTGCAACAGCTTGCATTTTTGTTTAAATTTTGTTTTATTATGAGTTTTTAGCAAAAAAACGTTAACCTGAGTTGGACAGGACATATCAAACAGTCCCTCCAGGATTTTGCGATCTTGCATTTACAAGAATCAAATTGAACCAGTTGTCGCATTATTTGCAACAGCTTGCATTTTTGTTTAAATTTTGTTTTATTATGAGTTTTTAGCAAAAAAACGTTAACCTGAGTTGGACAGGACATATCAAACAGTCCCTCCAGGATTTTGCGATCTTGCATTTACAAGAATCAAATTGAACCAGTTGTCGCATTATTTGCAACAGCTTGCATTTTTGTTTAAATTTTGTTTTATTATGAGTTTTTAGCAAAAAAACGTTAACCTGAGTTGGACAGGACATATCAAACAGTCCCTCCAGGATTTTGCGATCTTGCATTTACAAGAATCAAATTGAACCAGTTGCTGCATTATTTGCAACAGTTTGCATTTTTGTCAAAAAAAATGTTAACCTAAGGGGGGAAAGCTATATTAGCTAATCAATATCTCTGAGCACAAACAAACTGACCATTACATGTTCAACTGTCTTGCTGCTGTATTACAGTGAATTGCATTTGTTAAATGAGCAGCAAAGGACTGAGCACTGGGACTTCAAAAGGAAAGGAAAGTTTGGATTTGTGAGAACTACAATTGATTTCAGTAATAAGAAAAAAACAAAAAAACTAACTACTCTTACTGTAATAGGTTGTTTGCACTTGACATCATTGCTGTGGCGCAAAAAGCAGCTGGAGGGCAGGAGGTGATTTTTCTATATAGGAATTGCTAGCAGAAACTCAAAATGCCTATGTTTTGCGTTGTTTATGGATGCTCAAATCGGTCAAACCGAGAAACCACAATGAGCTTTCATCGTGTACGAAAATTAGTTGTTCATAAGGGGGGAAAAGGCAAGAAACTGACTGAAAAACGCAGGAAAAAGTGGCTTATAAACCTGCCTTTGCTGTCGGGAGCAGCAGAGTCGGATAATGCTCGTGTGTGCAAATGGTTAATATAAGATATTATAATATATTGAGATATTAATAAAGAAATGTATAAATAGGTACAGGGCTGCTAACTCTCACGCATTCAGCATAAAACAGTCAGAATTCACTCAATGCCAAACGCTACACATAGACACGATGTAAATAAGATATTATATGTGCAGTTTAGAGAGCTTCATTGATTATAACGGAACTTTGTGAGATTGCGATAAATGGAAGTTTGAGTGACAGCATTTTAGTGATGACATGGAAGCGCTATTTGCTCGCTTTCTAGGCTATAATCAATTCATAAATTGAATAAAAGTATTGTTTTACGTCCTGCAAACAGGACCAACGGCCACATACCCTGTACATGCAGCAAAGTTTCAGGAGTGACATATATCCCGCATCTTTCATATAAATGTGGGATTCACTTTCGAAATAGCTTTTTTGCAATCAGGGTTAGTTCAGGTAAGCAATTGCTTAGCCTATATCCACCGCCTTGATGGCAGAAAAATCGCTCCTCTTCATAACATAAGGATCACATCCAACATATGTTGTGATTTTCTGTTTATACCTTTCTCTTATAGTTCTAAACCAGTATAGTACGGACTTTCCTCCATCTCATCCATTCTGTTTTTCACTTCCTGCCCTCCATCTGAATTTCGTGCATCATCAGAATCACGTGATTGCAAACAAGCTATTATATAGTATAAATACATAATGATTATATCATATTATTGTATCATATTTGCATAATGATGCAAATCAACACAAAAATCAGTAATACAATTTTGAGAAAAGTTGCAGCAAATTTAGTCATTTTGGGCCACAATAAAAAAATTAATAAAATAATCGAAATCCTAAGAGAGTTTTTCTCTTTTTAGGGAAATATCAAAGTGTTCAAATACTTAATACACAGTAAAAAAAAAAAAAAAAGTCTTTAACTCTGCCTAATACGCAGTGGTTATGTTGGTTTGCTAGTCGGTTGCAGGGGTGGGACATTCTCATTCTAGAGAACATTTGATTGGACAAAAATCTGTGTGATGCAACATGAGTCCTGAAACTGTAAATTGTAACAAATTGCATTCAATGCTATTTATTCCCTTGAACAGGTAGAGAAAAACAAAGATGAGTTCTTCATGGCCTGGAACGCTTGTTTACATCACGTGACCACTTTGGCTATGGCACACATACATAGAGGTGAGAGAAAGGGGAAGTTTATCTACATTATTTATAGTCCATGTGTTGCACAAATGTCAGCAGATGTTCTTTTTTACATCCAAATTCTCAGAAAAGACTTTTAAATTATATCAGAGGGGTCCAAAAGATCACCCTAAAGGATGACGGGATGCCGTATGCACAACAACCCCAGAAAGTATTTGGACACTGAAGCCACACATAAAAATAAACCTCTGAAAGTCACTGAATTACTAAAAAAAATAACAAACCACAAAAAAGTGTGGCACTTTTCATGAAAAGTATTTCACAAAAAGATCAGAGGGTTGAAAGTCATTGCAAAAAGGGCTTAGAAATGGGAAGTTAGTTCTGAGAAAAACGGGCGCAGCATTTGATTGCAAATGACACTGGCTTTGAAATTCAGAAATCTAATTGTGACTCAGGTGCTTAAATACATTTTTGTAAAATTTGCATGCATCTTAGCATCACATTATCTGCAAATTCCAATTAAGGAAACTAAGGAATTAAGGAAGTTAGTGAATTGCCAGATGGTTTGATCAACTGCAGACAAATAAAACCTCAAATTAAATTTGTAATTACACTTAGGATGACAAAATGACTATTCTTAATGAGCATTTTTGTCTGAATTTCCAGTTGAAAAATCCTAAAAGTTAAGTTTAAGTTACAGATTTGAGCAACAATTACTGTTTAGTGATTTCACTGTATTTATTTATGAAATAATTCCAATAATAATTCAAATAAACATACAATCAATATAAAATCAATAAATTGAAATAAATTATTATTTTAAAAATTATTATTTTATTTTTTTGAAATAATAATTAAAAGAAATGTGTAACACATCAAACAAAGAAACATTGATAATCGTATAGTCTTAAAACCTTGAGCAGTGTTTTTGATGTAAAATTGAAGGGTTTTGAAATATTTGTCCATGAAAATAAGTCAAAAGACTAATTTAAAGACATTTGTTGCAGTGAGGATGTTGCCGCAACTAATCCCTAAAAGCTAATTTTTCTTATTTTACAATTAAATGTGTCCTAAACTCAAGAAGCACATTGTATTAGTAGTGCATTTGTGTGAGGTCTAGAGTAAGTGATTCATGTGCTCGTGTAGACTATAAACTCACCACACGTCTTTGATCATTAAAGACACTGTTCAACTTCTCTTTGACTTTCTGATTCACTCTTACATTCAGTAAGCAACAGAAAGGTGCTGTGCATCTGATGTTCTAGAGTATTTCCACATGCTCAGTGTGTGTGTGTGCATGGGTTTGTGTGTCAAGATATATTTTCCTCCCCTGATAGCATATTTCCATTCTCTCACCCTCCTCCCACACACTTACACACACACACACAGATCATGCGCTAATTTTCTCTGAGATGGTGCTGATAACATTGAGATGAGGGGCTTTTATTCACACTTTACACGAGTGTTCCAGTTTGGGCTTTCATTTATGATATTAATACTGACTTAACACGCATGATTGTAACACATAGTAGCGGTCACAGATCACAGAATATTTATTGCATTGTTCAGTGCCTCAAATCAGTCATAGAGAGAGAGTCACAGGTACTGTAAGGAGATGCAAATAGCCAACTCTGTCAATTCAAGCACTTCTGTCCATTCAAAGCATGGCATAAAATCTGCCATAATATGATATTTTAATAATATTTAAGTTGTTTTAAATAAAAAAAAAGCCATTTTAATAGACTCCTATCATGAGAAATTACATTTTCCTTCATCTTTTGAGATAAAAGAGCTTGATGCACTATGAAAATGTACTGTAAATTTAGGAAATTTGTGCAGTTATGAATGAAGAATGATCAGATTAATAAGCATTTACTCTCAATAATGTGACTGTAGGAAAGTTCTCAGAACTTTAGCTAATGTTCCGGCAAGGTTCTATCAAAGTTATGAACAAACGTTCTTCTGGTTAACAGAACATTCATTGGAAGTTATCTCGTCTTTAATAATATTCTCAAAACGTTAGCACAAAAAACATTATGCATATTTTTTCCTGAAACTTCGGTTGGACATTCGTCTAACATTTTTTTTCAAAATGTAACATTCGAAAGTAACATTCCCAGAATGTTTGCGAAACGATAACATGGAATGTTGGGGAAACGTTTTAAGTCATTTTTAAAACTGGAACAGTCCAAAAGAATGTTTTTGTAACTTAATTGGAATGTTAGAAAAACGTTCTTAGAACATATTTTTGTTAGCTGGGAAAGTTCTACCTTTCAGGTAAATAGATACATCACATTTTTGGTAGTTTGCTTACTCTAGAATGCAAATTCACTAGCTGAATCCAAAATATGATGATTTGAATGATAAATACATTTCTGTTTTAAATTGTTTTTGGTCTTTCCTCTTTCAAGCTGAAAAAAATATTGCCTAGATAGAAAACATCTGCCCGGGGGTGCAGCAGATTTTGGTACATCAAAGCACTGCTTCTCATTTCAAATGTGAAAGAAGTGTTTCTTAAAGACAAAGTGTCTCATTTTATTTTAAGGGTCAGGGAGAAGGTGAAAAATAG